AGCACCCAAGATTTCATAACAGATTAAATAAATTTTCAGAACACTTCAGTGTATCCAGGAATTTAAATGCCATCTGTTAATGCACCTTACATAGTTCTACAAGGCAAGTTCTGTCTTTCTGTGAAAATTTTGGTTTTAAATCACTGAATTATACTAGGATGGAGTTTACTAGATTCCTTTTCAATGCTGTTCTAATTAGTGGAGTCTGTGAGTTGTTTTGCTTCCCTCAGTTGTCAGATTTACATCCTTTGGAAAAAGTCAGAGGTATTCTTTTAAAAATCCTGGGCCAAGAGGAATAAAGCAGAAAAGATGTTCCTTTTCCGGCATCACGATACTAGAATCTCACATTAAAAGTGCTGTCCTGAAGTAGCCTCCAATGGCTTTGTATTTCTTCCAGTAGCTATAGCTAGTCCGACTTCTAATATTTCCAACTTGAGCTTCAGTCAAAGGCTTGGTCATTGCCCTGATACAGAAGGTCAGGCCATGTTCTGAAAACGTATTAATCAGATTTCCTGGGAGTTTTGTATAACCAGCAACATTGGAAACCTTCCGTGTTAGTTCTGAATGTCATGAAGGGAGCGTCTTATTTTATCAATATCTCTCTGGAACAGTCAGTTTCAAACCTGAGACTGGAAATAATTCTGTCTTTTACCCCTCATATATAGATCAAATAATTGAATACATTATTGCTGTGATTGGGTTATCCTTGGTTATCATGAAAGTCGAAGTGACTGTAGTTCTGGAAAGCTTTTTTGACAATGAAGACAAGCAAAGATGCTAGGTTCCCTACAGATGTAAGTCAGCACAGCATCATTGACTTAAGTCTATAGATCATAACAATTTAATTTTCTTAGCTACTGCATATAATCAGATGTGGTGAGATGGCAGGATCTCCCCCTCCCCTACTAGGCTTGTATATTCAAATTAACAAAAGCTTGAGCATTCTTACTGTTGATGAGTTCAATTTACTTATATTAAATGAATTAAATAGCAACAAAATGTGTTTTGTACAAAAATAACATCACTGTTAGTAAATTAGAGTTCTCTTATGAAGTAGAGCACCTCCTGAGTTGGACCTTCAGTGCACCAGGTGTTTGGTTGCTCCATGGTAGCTCTGTTGATCTCTGCACTGCCAGACCACTTTCTACTAGTACCATATCTGGTCCAGATACATTACGGCATCACAACAGATCTTACAGGAATAGTGACATTTCAGCACAGCAGATCCACATGCAGCAAAGTCACTGAGCAGGTTCAAGTTGTTCACACAGACTGAATTTTTTAGCTTCTTGGCTGTTCTAATATTCATTACCTCACAACATGAATACTTCAGAGCAGAATACCTTATCTTTTGATTACCACATGTCTTTTAGGAATTGGTATTTTTAAGACTGCTAATTGAAGAGTCTTTGAAATCTTGGGCATTTAAGGGGATTGCAATCTTGAATGATAGTTTAATGAATAATAGTTTAACAGCTATTTTTAGTTGAAAAACTCTTAGATGAAAAAAACTTTTTATGTACCAAAACTAGCTTGTGAAACTCATCACAAGTTACCATAGAGGCTAAGAGGCCAGCAGATTTCAAAGAAGGGTGTTTTTCAGATATTCAGATTTGTTATAATAAGTAGGAATCACCCCAAGCTTGGATTTCATGGAGAACACAGACACTTGTGTTTCAGGACTGAACCCAAATTTTGGCTCTTTTTATACTTGGAAAACTGTGTGTGAATTATCCCAGTGCTGTTTATCAGTTTTCCCTTCAAAACGTATAGCATCAGGGCACTCTTGGGGACTGCTCTGCATTTGTATGAACTTTAATCAGCTACAGCTTCAGTATAGTGCAGGATTTGTTATGTTCTGTAAAGAAATACTGTATTTATGTTGTGTGACAGACACTTTGAATGTATTGGGTGATTTTAGGTTATTTTGTTATAAAATTATCCGTAATTGTACAAGTGGTAATGCATGTAGAAACAATTGAAATAATGAACAGTGTGAAAGGAGAGGAGATGAGACAAGAGAAGAACAACAGAACAAGGGGCCGAAGAAGCACTTCAAAATAAGTACTTGGGGTTTGTTTTTAATTACTATTATTATAATTTAGCTTTTGTATTTAGGGGTTAACAAGCCACTACAACTTGTACATTACCTTTTTCCAGTATTCCCTCAAACATCCTAGAGCTGCAAATACCTGAAAAATATGAATTTAAGCAGCTAAAATACAACCTTTTAATTTCTCTGTTGGATCCTTCAGGCATACCCTGTGGCTCAGCCTTTTTTTCTGAAGGTCAAGACTGTTTCATTCATCTGATATAAGTAGCTTGAGTGTGGCATTTATAACTTGAGTAATGTTATGGATGATAACACCATTAGACATTTTTACAGCTTCAGCAGGAGTTCAGCCAGCAGGACTATCAGCCTGATAAATGCTTTCATCTTAAAGGTTGTATTGCTACAATAACCCCAAAACTTAAAGCTGCTCCTTGAAACCTGTAGCCTGGCTAAAGAGATGAAGAGTGCCATCTGACATTCCTAGGTTGCTAAAGAGCTCTCTCAGGTTCCAGTGCAAGAATTAAGATGCCCACATCCAGCTGTTCTGATCTGAATTGGAAATTACAGTAGGACTTCATAATTTTAAATGAATTGAGGACAGTGCTACTTGAACAAATGAGCTTTAGATTGAGATGAGACTGAACCCTGGGTGATTAAGTCTCAACATTTTGTCCCTACCCAATTATAAAGTGTTTCCACAAGATCTTAGGAGGCAGAACTTTTATACTGCTATTTTCAGAAACAAAAGAGAGTTTCACCTCCTCTGCCTGGGTATTTTGCAGTTATAAAGTACCTAGGAGAGTGGTAAAAAACTAATTTATAGAGTAGGCTGAAAGTGCCGTGAGAAGCTAACAATGATAACTGTTGGGATTTTGGCTTTGTACAAGTTATTTGTTTTGCAGAGATCTGAAAGACAGTGGTTATGTACTGAAAGTAGATAGTAAAAGTGGCTGTGCACTGATTATGCATGTAAAAACATTTGAAATAATGAACAGTGTGAAACAAGACGGGATGATTCAAGTGGAAGAAGAGAAAAAGGGAGTATGAGATGAACAAAGATCAAGTTCTTGCTTTTATATCTAAGAATCTGAGGCTTGTAGCAAACTTTAGCCACTCTTTTAACCCAGCAGGTATTTAACAAAAATATTTGTAACACGTAATGATTACAGTTAAGGCAGCCAGATACGGTTTTTTCATTGCTTCTGATAATATGAAACAACTCCATTGATTTCCTTAAGATTTTAATGTCTTCACTGGAGTTCCTCTGTTAAACTGCTGTTCTGCTTTACAACCTTCTGTGTTTCCTGATCATCACCTTGATCACAGAAAAAAATTTAGGACTTCTTATTTTCATCTGAGACCTCTGAAGCTATGCTTCCTTTCTGAAACTTTCAAAAGTGCAACCATGGCAATTAGTTCCTAGGTGAATACTGTTATATAAGTCTGATACAATACAGAGTTTGAATGCTGCAAGTCTGGCACAACATCTCAGAAGAAAGTTAGAAAGGAGGACCTCTGACAGCAGAGGTCAACAAGGGTGATCGGAGGCTTTGAACAACAACTGTGTAGAGAGATCCTAAGTAAGCTATGATTCTTCATCTTGTAAAATAAATGACTAAGGGATTAGATAATAGAGGTCTATAAAATTGTAACCAATGTTCAGAATGTAAGTAGGGAACAATTATTCTATAATTCTTTTAGTGTTAAGAGGTAAAGGTTACCAAGTGGAACTATCAATTATCAAAGAAGAGGGAGTATTTTTTGCTGGAAGCTACATGAGTGTGCAGGGAGGGTGCCTGCATCCTGTTCTTTTACTCTTCCCCAAACACTGTTAGAGGTAAGATACAAGGCTAGGTTAATTTTTGATCTGGGCATATAATTGCTAGAATCTTAAATTTATAAGCACTGGAAATAGGTGGTAGACTGAAGGGCAAGTATAAGATTTGACCTTCTTTTTAGTTCGTTTTTCATACTGGCTAGTTTTCAAGTTGATGAGTGCCTTTAAACTTGCTTTAAAACATGTTTGCCTCGTATAGAATTATGTAATAGCAGCAGCAGCCTTGGCTAATGCATTTATAGTTCTGTGGATATATTAATCCTTATTTCCTGATGTTTTTCTAAAATTCATCAAATATGCAGGATCTTAACTCGCTTAAAGTCTCAAGACAGAAAATGATTATAAAAAATAAATTGTAGGTTCCAGTCAGTCTGACTTTAGTTAGTGTGCATTGGCTACAGAGTAGTGTAGGGGCAAGAAAAAACTTGCGTTATTATATTGTATTTGAGATGGTGGGTAGAAGCTCCTCTTCGTCCCTTTCTGAGTGTGTAACATACTGCCTTCCTCTTGGGCTATAATAATCTACTTTCAGTTGACTGATCATATTGCTTTTTGCCTCTGTTTTTGGAAGACGTTCGCCCACCTTCTCGCAGCTCATCAACTGAATAACCTGTCCTCCTCTATTCAGCTTTCTATTTCTCAGAAGCTGTTTGAAATCTCTGCTAAGACATCGCTTTTGTCAGCTCTGCCTTTTGATATTGTTATGACTGACGCATACCTTGGTTTCTGCCACCAATTTTAGAAGTTTCTGTATAGTCCAAGAACCCTGCAGAATCTCTGGTAGCCCTTCTGCCAGCTTGCTTTAGTTGTAGTAATGTCCAAGTTCAAATAAAGTGTAATGGCTCATACTAAAGTGAACGAAATGCACCCCACCGTGAATCATTACTTGCTCACAGATTTTAGGCTCTTACCTCTAGACCCTGCTGTTTTAACTTCATTCTTTATATACATCTTTGGTTGCGGTGTCCTATTGTGGCACCATTTCACATCCCTGATTGCTCTGCTTTCAAGTAATTGCTAGCGTAGCTGGTTAATAATTGCAAGATGTGTTTGAAGGAGGGTCCTGTGGCTGACGTTTGGTGGAACTGAAGGCTGTTCTGTTATTTTCAGGTACTGTTTGGCACTGCTGATGGACAGGTTATTGTCATGGACTGCCATGGCCGAATGCTGGCCCACGTGCTCCTTCACGAGTCAGATGGCATCCTCAGCATGTCCTGGAACTATCCCAGCTTCCTGGTGGAGGACAGCAGCGAGAGCGACACAGACTCCGATGACTATTCCCCACCGCAAGGTAGTGTTGTGTGCATGTTCTTCTGTTCCAGCTTTGCAAGTGCTCATGAAGACATCTTGAATGCCAGGGAGTTGTCATGGTGAACTAAAAGAGCAGCAAACACAGTTTCAAGCTGGTAGAGGACAAAAGATGGTGTGTTCCTGTGGAGGTAGCATGGAAAATGGAGCAGAAAGCTGGTACAGGAGAGTGAGTTTGTCCCAAGCTCTGCCACCAGCCTTGCTGCATGGCTTGCTGCAGGTCATATGTTGTCTGTGCTGCACTGTCTCTGCACAAATGAAATAACAACACAAAGTTGTTAATGAGGGTGAGTGAAAAACACTAGATAGGGGCATATCAGGTTTCACTGATAAGTGGTGTGATTTATTGCAGTAATCCTACCAGCATATATGGAGGTAGTCAGAGTGCAGTCACAGAAGTTAATGTGTTATTATATAGATTATTCTGAAAAGACACCAGTACTAGATAGCAGAAAGTACTGTATCTTCAATTTTATCTGTTTCATAGGATTTCTGTAATGCTCATCATTGTAGTCCCATTCTTGATAGTCTTGACATAAAAAGCTTAATAAACTCCATAGAAGGATTGGAAATTAAAATATTTCTTGCAATTACACAGGGTAGAAGAAGGGTGTGTGGAGGTGTCTGGAGTTACTAATTCCCATACTTCAGAGCACATTGCCAGTTTGAGGGTCAGGAAGGAATCCTTCCCTCCCCTTAAGTATAAATATAACTCATGGGGTGACATGTTTTTGTTTTAAACTCTCTGGAAGTCATCCATAGCAAAGACCTAGGAGGCCTAGGTATCCATGCACAGTCAGCCCCATCCTTCTTGTTCAAGTATGCTAATACTACTTCTTGTTAATGCCGTTGATTAGTCTGTAAGATCTAGGTAAGCTGTTTCTGTGTTCCAGAACCGAATTAATATAGCAGTGATTGTACAAAGAAAAATTTAAATACATACTAGATAGAAATAATTCTGAATTTGCATCTCAGATCTGAACCACTGGATTGAGGACTCTTGCAGTTTTAACTCTAATTTGGATGCAGTCCAAAAATCTACCTTTTTTAGAACCATGTGTGTATATATGCCAATATAATAAGCATATGTATTTAACAAATAATGGTGGAAGATAATGTGATCATCTGGTAATTGTTAGCATCTTTTAAAACTGAGTTTTGTTTTGGCTTTCATGCCTCACCTTTGGTACTTGGTGAGATTTCTTACCTTAGAAGATAAGAAACAAACTTCACATTTCCTAGCAAGCTTCCAAACCAAGAGAACAACATTAAATTTGTTTTTCATTGTTTTTTTTTTAAATACTGAGGTTCCAGTTGGAGGATGGTGAAGTTGCAGAATACACAGATGAGAACTTAAATGATCTGAATGGGCCAGCTTTTTCTGAGTCAGTTGGGGGTGGGTGGACTTATTACAAGCCTACAAGCCTATTTTAAAGATTACCCAAACATCATGTATTTTCTTTAGAGCAGATGCAGCATAAACCTCTCGAAGGTGACAAGCCTTTGACTCACACAGATGTGTAGGAAGGACTGGAAGTTTTATGGGTTTTTCTTATGAAATGATACACACACAGAGATGTTAATTACTAGACATCGTTCTCCAAAATAGTTTCTGATCAGTTTTTCTACATGTTCAGGAAGCAATACCACTCTTAATTGGCTCTGCCTTTTTTGTTGACTGAAAAGATGCTGTCTTGGTCCTGAGAGGCACTTTATCATGGGCCAGCAGCGTCTCTTGTCAGAAAATGTAAACAAAAAGAGTTAAACAGTGAATGCTACAGATGGTAATACTGGTCATAAAGTATTTGAATAAGGGAATTTCAACAAATGCTGTAAAACAAGCCCAGAGGAGCAGGGACTTTGCGGAAATGTTTTTTTAAATCCAGGTGTTCCATTTGGGCTTACCTCTACCTTTGAATGCATTGGACCCTGTTATACAGGATGGCAGGTAACTCTTCATGCTCCTGCCTAGAATATAGTAATTTGTGAAAGGTCAGAATGTTGTCTTAGACGTTCTTAGAATGTCTCTATGTGATTTCAGGAGGAATCCCCAGCACTTGCCCAAGCAGAAAGTGTATCTAACAAATAGCTTTTAATGTGATTATATGTTTATTACACAGGTTTTCAACTTGGGTCCCAAGCAAGTCTTCCAAAGCACTGGTTTTCAATTTGTGGACACTGGGGAGTTGGCAATAGAGAAAGATTGAAAACCACCACTGTATAACATAATAGTATATGCATAAATCATGGATATACTGAATATACTGCAGTAAAAATTCCCAAAGTAAAAACATTGGGGTTTCACCAAAGCAGACAAACTTGAACTAGCTAAATCTGCTTTTGCTTTTGCTCATAGATGTTGCAGAAATAGGTCGAGTTTGAGGCTTGGGACTGTTCCTGATGGCAGTGGGCTGCAGTACAGTGTATTTCAGCCTGGATATAATATTACTTCTTGGTTGTTTGCCTTTTGCTCACTCGAGCCTTGTTTTGCAGATGGACCAGCTGCGTATCCAGTCCCGGTGCAGAACACCAAGCCACTACTTACTGTCAGCTTCACGTCGGGAGACATTAGTTTAATGAACAATTACGACGACTTGTCTCCTACTATCATCCGCTCAGGGTTGAAAGGTACAAAAGGAAGCCATTTCACCCTCTTCCTATCCTCTGTTTTTCGTGGATTTTTAACGTTGTGTGTATAGGTTGTGTTTTTGCGGTTGTTTCTCCTAACCCAGAAGCTCTTGGCCACCGTTATTGCTGTTTCCAGCAGTGACACCTGCTGGTGGAAGAGCGGCGCTTGGCTGAGAAGAGTTGGTGTTTGAAAAAATGTTTCCATTTTTGAGGTTGTGTTTTTATGGCAGTTTTTTTAGACCAAATTTGATCTGTTTGCTGTTTTCCAGCTGAATGTGCTAATATGTTTGTGCTTCTTTGTGTGAATGCCCCTGCTACGTAATATTTCCTTTATATCTTTAGTTTACAACGTGTCCTCCTATGCTTTTGGTAACCAGGTATGAATCGCAGTGCTGCTTTGACTCTCACAAATATTGAAAACTTGATAGAATTATTATCTAGAGGCAAGTTTTTTCGAGAGAATGATAATTCCACTGATTAATGACTATACATCTTGCTAAGCGATGTGTATGAATGTTTGTAAGATCAGTATTCCATGTAAAATGTTTAATTCACGTTGGAATATTTCCTGTTCTTACTTATCAAAACGTCCCTTGCTTTGCCAGCACTCTCAGTACAATTTACGGTGCTTTGCCTGGAGAAGTTTTCATTCACTATGACACATAAGCACATACTTAAATGTAGGTTCCACTGATTGTTTTTCATCTCCACAGGTAAATTAGTTCTGTATTAGATGAAAAAAAAATATTTATCTCTTGGATCAGACTCTTAGCTGTTCTCTAACAGTGGGATATTTTTGGTGAAAAGTTGCTCTAACAACAGCCCAATAGTTTCTGGGTGCTCTACTATGTAGGGTAGTATCTTAGGAGGTTAAAAAAAACACCTTTGAGGTTTCTTTTCCACTCCTGCTTCCATATGTGCCAGCACAAGAAATGCATGGTTGACAAAATGTAGCAATCTGGGGCAACCCCATGCTCCAGAAAACTTCAGCCAAAAAGTCACCTAAAGAAGGACTGGGAGTGTGTATGAGATAGACAGCGAAAGGTGATATCACTGTTGTTTTGAAGCATTGTACAGTAGAAAGTATTTTACATATAACTGTCATATAGATATAAACAGTTTCTGTACCTTCTTATAAAAATTGTTTTCAAGTGATTGTAATTATATTGGTTGTTATCACATGCAAGAATGTGCAAAACCACCCAGCTCAGGGTCTCCATCCTCTCCAGCCACTTGGTATTCTGCTGACAGTGGGTGATCGTCAGTGTTGTGTTTGAGTCTTAGTTCATGTGTTTCTGTTTGAAATCTGCAAATATTGTGTTGTGGTCTCTGCAGCAGATGCACATGCCCTTGTCTTTATGGGCTGCTGTTACGAGCAGTGTACTCAATGTGTAATACTATAAAACTGTTTCAAGCAATACCAGTATATTTTTGCTGTTTGGTTAGCTTTGTCATTTTACTGGGAATATTCATATTAAATTGATGCAGAAAAACATTTGCTGTTGGATGAGAATTTGATTACCCGAATACAAGCTCTTCTTTTCATCCAGCCTGAACAATCCTGGAAGTTTTATCAGTTCTAGTGGAGGTCCTGAATGGTTCAGTTGTGTCTTTCCTTTCTTTATGCTTTTTAACTCAGTGATTCTCAGTACACTGCTGAACAGCATCTACTAGTTGTGCTAGTTAGCTACAACTACTAGCCACAGAGCTATTGCACATTTAGAGTGCTCTCTATTCAAGACTTGCTGATATACATGCCTGTAGTGTCTGGCAAGTAGGTTTGAGGGATGGCTCTGACACACTAATTGACTTGCAGACTGTTACCTTAGATGAAACCCCCATCAGATTTCTAATCTTTGTGCTTGTGCTGAGACCTAGTTATCAGTCAAGCTGTTATCCATCAAGGTTAAATAGCAGTTGAAGACCCTGTCACCAGTGCAGCGTGCTGTAGAGCCTGGGGCAGCGCTGCAGCCCACATCCAGTCCTTCACTGCCTTTGCAGCAGCCTAATTCTAGGAGTTTTGAGAGAAAGAGAGAAAACTGCTGGATGCAGTAATCGCTCCTCTTCCTTTTGGTATGGAGTTCAACTGAAAGTTTTACCTGAAGACATGTATCCAAAGGAGATTGTTTTTTTCACTTTGGTAATTGTGTAGTTAAGCCAGTTACCAAAAGTGGAGTTGCTCGACCATGCCTCATTGATTTCTAACCTGCTTTTTATACTCTCTGAGAAAGATGAATTAAATCCCACTGTAGATTACTTAGAGGGTTGAGGACTAAGAGAAAAAAAGGCATGTAATGCCTAGCTGTGAAAAAATTATCTTGAGGAACATGCATCTTGCCTCTGATATGTACAGAAGCATAATTCCCATGAGAAATATCAGAAAGTTGAAATAATACAAAACCATTTTAAATTTCACATAAAAGTCCCTGAAAATGACAAGTTGACAACTTGAAACAATTTTGAGATCCTTCCTGCCAACTCTCATTTCTCTCCTGCTTCTTCATTTGAAGACAGCTTCTCGCCCACAAATGTCTTCAAAAGGTTCTTGGCAGATTGAGCATCCCAGAGCACAGAAGTTTTGTCTTTACCTTCACTTTGTCTCAGTACGAAATAGCTGCCTTTCACCTCTGGTTTAAGAGTAAAAAGGTTTAAAGACTAGCTTAGTATTCCTTGCATCTGCCCCTGAAACACAAAATACTGTTTTAATGCTCTTCCTGAGTGTGACAAAGAGCTGGAGGATATAAGGGTTTGAAATTAGCATCCCCAAATTAAGCTGTGGGCGTTCCTCATCATGAGGTGCCTGTAGGAGAAGTAACTGATATGTATATTCATATCCATGTATATGAGAGACTAAGCAATCCCTGTGTGCTTCTGGCAAACTCCTGCTAGACAGATGAATAGATTTTCACAAGTCAGGTGTCAAAAGAAAACCTATGACATGGAGGCCATATGTATTTATGGACAAAAATCCAGAAGTCTTTCTAGTTTGACATACTAAATTATAACTCTAGTTTGAGTTATGCTAAAAGTTACATTCACAGCTAGTGAGAACATGGGGCATTGCCAGATATACTGCTTTTTTCTTGCTGTAGGCCTTTCAAGTCAAGGAGTCTTCGCTGCTCTTTTAGTGAGATTATTTGTCTGTGTATTAACTTGATTCCACTTATTTACCCCCAAGATGTGCATAGGATTTTCAACATCTCTGATAAATTCTTGTCCTTAGGAGCAACCACTGATTACATTCTAGACTCACCAAAGAGAGAGAAAAATGAATGTTTTCTACACATTTTTTGCAATTCACAAAATAAAGAGTCATTCTCAGAAGTGCATCTGTGGCATATTTGCTACTATTTCAATGAAAGGATTTAGCTTTCTAAGTACTTAGGTAACTTTTGAGAGCATAATTTAGCTGTTCAAGTCACTTTTCAGCATCTGGAAACACTGTTCCTACTGATTCTAGTCAGTGATTATTGCAAACCATCTTTGTGATTTCAGATGTGGTGGTACAGTGGTGTACACAAGGAGACCTACTTGCAGTAGCAGGCATGGAGAAGCAAAGCCAGCTGGTTGACCTCAGCAATGGTTCCCTGTTGAAAAGTGCACTTGTCAAGTTCTACAATGTGCGCGGGGAACATATCTACACTCTGGAGACACCTGTACAGGTAGGAGGTATTTTTTAAGTCAGTTCTCAATGCTTTGCTGACATGTTTTTCCCACATTAGCTCGTTGGTATACACCTGCAATGTGAAAATGGTTGCAGAATGTCCTGAACGCTTTCTAGAATATGACATAGATTAAAATGAACTATAAATAATTGTTGTTTGCATTAAGGTAGACATCCAGGAGTGCATCTCATTCTAGGGCCCTCTCTGCTAAGTATTGTGCAAATACATAATGAGAAGCAGTCTCTTTCCCAAAATTGTTGGGCTGTGAACAGACAAGATAGAAAAAGGAAATTCTGTTGTTTACAGATAAGTAACCGAGGGAAAAAAGCTAGATAACTTGCTTGATACTGTAGCAGAACCAAGAGCTGGACAAAAATATTCCAAGTCCAGTATCATAACTACAAGATTATTCTCTCTTTGTCATTGCTGTAATTTTCTAATGTACAATCACTTGATACATTATTTTACTTTTTATGGCATCAGATAGAGAAGGATCAATCAGAAAGTCTTGTTTCTGTTACCACCTTCTGTACAGACTTTCACTGTAACCTTGGTCACTGTTACTTGATAAGTAAATATCAATACATTGTCTGTGTGCTGCTTAGGAGCACAACATGCTTTGTAGGTCTTTGCTGATATTTCAGAACCCAGCTGAATGTCTCTCCACAGTTTATTTCATTTTCTGCAGAACAGAGATGACTCCATTCTGACTTCTGACAGTTACTAGTGAAATTTAATTAATTTACAGTAGCTTTGAAATCTGAAAGTGAAGGAGAATGCTGTAGATATATTTACTTAATTATGTTTAATGATGATACCATTTATTATAATTTCTTTTGCAGTACCTTGATCTGGGATGGATACAAAAGGATGACGTAGTAAACCAGCTGCTAAGCTTTTGTGTTTGCTTATATTTAGCATTAACCTGTGCTTCTTAACATTAGCACTCTAATTTAGATAGAATTCTTTAGTTTTGTAATATAATAAATAATGGTCTCTAAAGCCAACCTAAATATGTACAGCAACATCTAATGCTGATTTAGGTACCTAAAGGACTTACCCGTACACACAGCTTTATTGTCTCTTAGCCCTTACCTTAGCCTATTTGTCTTAGCCCTTAGCCTTTAATTAATGTCTGTAGCCCTTTCAGCAAGGTAGCACAGCCCTTTCTCCTCTGGATCGATTCTGGAGAAAATGTGTTTATAACAGTGTTGCTTATTCCCAGACCAGGTAAAAAGCAAACCTTGTTCTGTTACTTCAGTACCAGAATATCGTATGTCCGTGTTAGCTGTAGAACCAGTATAACACTCTGGTGTCAAGCTGTGAAATCAGGTTGAGGTTTGAGCATCAGATCTGATGGGATCAGGTTGCTTTAAGGTGTGTGTGCAGGCTCTTTTCTTACTGCTTTGTTCCCAGTAACCTCAATTTCTCCTCCCTTTAAATACCTTCATGTCCTCTAGTTCTCCCTATATCACTTCAACTTCTTTTCATATTTTCAGCTCTTCTCCTTTCTCCTCTCCTTAATCATCTGGGAGAAAGCACATATCGTGGCTGATATGAGAACTAATTATTCTGCCATTATATGAGTACTTAACAGGGCAACTGACAGGTCATACAGAACAGGTACCTTCAAGTTCATACCACAGTATTTCTCATAGTGAAAATACTAACACGAGCCTCTCTGCTCTTTCCAGCTTCTAATTTTCACTGAAATTGCAGCATTTTAATGTCATGGAGATTTCTTACCCCATTGTCAACTTCAGATGAAAAGCCAACACCTTCAGAAGTTGTAAGCCAGGTTGGAAGTGAATGATGGGAGGGTCGGGCATGGCAGCCACCACTTCACAGCATAATCATGGAGTCTCATTGCCTTGGGAAACCAGGATGAAAATAGCATTCAAACTGATGTATTTATGTGTGTTAAAAAACTGTGTGCATAAACCTGCCTAAAATTAGAGCCACTCATCTTCTATTAGTCAGTGCTTATTCTCTTTATTTGGTGCGTTTAAATTCATATTTACTCAGCTGCAGGAGGAAGTGAGGGGTCTTTCAGAAGGACACCTGTGTCTGCTCATGTGGACTTTATGCTTCTATGTATTTGAATGCTGGTCTAGCAATATTACCAGCTAAGTGACAGGTATGCTAGAACGTTACTAAGTATTTGGTTTACTAACAAAACCAGATAAAAACTACTGTTGAAAAAAACTTGCTAGTAGCTTCTGTTATTCTCTGCCTCAACTCCAAAGGTGTATATGCAAAGATGGCAGAGTGAGTCAGTGGTTCCAGTAATATGTCTGATGACAAATTCATAAGAGTAAATTAATTAGTTTTCTGTACCATGACAGTTAGACTTGTAGTGAGATTTTATAAAATACACCACTGGTTATTGATTTATTCTAAATGAGCATTATTCTGAATTTAAAGGTCAAAAAAGTAAAGCTGCATCTAAGATAGAAAACAGTGGATTACAGGTACAACACTGATTTTGCATGTGGCTCTCTCTCCTAATTCTGTGATAAAGCAGATGTGAAAATTTTATCAGGAAAATATACTGATCTGTCTTTGGTAGGATATTCAGGAAATAAGATATTCCATTTTTTATAACAAAACTCAGTCTAAAACTGACATAGGATTTATAGACAACTTGGCTGAAATGTTAACTAACATAAAGTCACGGCAAACCCCAGGGTAGAATAGATTTGGGTACTGCAGGTTACTCATCTAGATGATGACTGTCGTTATGGATCCCTTCAAGGTATTTTATATGACACCTTCTCCTCCAGCTTTAGTAGGGTTCTGGCATCCTCTGTCTCATTTGTTTAACTTCCTTAAACTGTTACCTTCAGTGTAGGATTTTATAGTTCATAAATGTAGTTTGCTGACTAGAAAACCCTAGACAGGGAAATCACACTTGTTTAAAAGTATCCAAGTGAGCACACTAGCTTTGCATGAAAAATAATGTTCATAAACAGCATGGTAGAGTTATTATAGTAGAACGGTCTCTTTTGTTCCCTGCTCTGGGACTTCAGCCTTCCTCCCTGACATGCTGCAAGAATATATTTGCAGAATGTAGTGAACAGAGCTGAAAAAGCGTTGGTAAGTGCTGAGCAAGTACTGAGCTTCTGCTACACAGAATCAAACTGGTTTGAACCTTGAAAGAATGATGAAAAAATTTCAGAAGGGACTTCAGAAAGTCACATCAGACTTTTTACCTTATTGGAAAGAGTTCTGTGAAAACTGGGTTCATACTGTAACTCCAAAGGGTTGATACTGGTTATTTTTTTTATACCAAGAGCATATCTTAAAGGCTGTTGATCAGCTGATAACTGTTAAAAAATATACTATCTATTTCTGTAAAACTTAGCTCTTAACTACACTTGCCCTTGTGTACATGAACACCAACATGATGTACCAAAAATATGCCCAGTTCTTTTAGCTGGCAGCTTTCACGGTCCTGCTTTTTCAACATTTAAAAATGTGTTTACTACAGAAGGCTACCCTACAAATCATAAATTTTTTATTGGAAGAATGTTAATTTCTTACATTATTTGTTAAATCCTCACCACCTTTCCCTGGCATCAAGCAGGGATGAGAATCAACTCATTCAAGACTGTTTTACAGTCTTGCTAAAATTGTTTACTGGAAATGCTGCAACCCAGTTCTATCACTTCAGAATTTCTCATCTGATGTGCAGACAGGTCTTTATTATATCAATTAACTTACCTAGAGTTGTTTCTGAGTGGATACAGCTGCTTAATATTTTCCCATTTGAACTTTAAACAGAGGAGTCTCATACAGGACCACTTCAAAATTACTTAACTGCTGACTTTTACAAACCTCTGATTTTTTTCTGTCTAATGGTTCAAAGTGGTGGCTTATATTTTGGTTTCTTCTCTGGTTTTTATAATTTTCTTTTTCATATGTCCCGGAGGACCAGAGGAACAAGAACATGGATTTAGAAACTCTGAAGTTGATCTCATCTATATACCTACAGTAAATTTACATTAGCTTATGATTTTATACCACTGTGTAACTGGTGTAACAGATTAAACCTCAAGTGCAATGAAGAAGGATAAGAGTGAATTGAGCCCCTCACGTTCCAGAATCAGTTATATAGACAACAAGATTAGATGCAGAAAAACTGTAATTGCATTTTTATCAGTGTAATATTTTTAAACCCCAGTTCAAAGCGATGTATCAAAGGCTAAATCTTTATGCAAGAGGTTTCCAGGAGTCTTCTCACTTGCTCTAAACATGCTCCTGTCAGCAGCACCCTTCACAGCATTTCATGGGCTCTTTCTGTCCCAGAAATGTCCCAGCATCTGAATGGATAGATTTAAGATGATGTGACCCTGCAGAAACCTGGTAGTTGTGTAAAAGTTATTTTACGAAGGCCTGAGAAGGATGGTGCAGTTCTAGGTTAAATTCAGATCAAAAGGCTTTGGAACAAGAGGCTGCCTTTTATGTTACCCAGCTGAGCTGACCTCGCTTACTCTGGCTTCATTTATTTCACATGGAGTGTTCAGGTTTGTTGCTTTTGAATTAATGTTGCCTTTCATTTATATTGCCTGAAATTAATCCTATGTAAGTGTTATTGGATGACAGCAAAGCTTCAAGAAGAGTTTATTTTCTCACAGAAAAAGAAACAAGAGCAATAGTTTAGAACTGGCTGGTGAAACATTCTTTGGGATATCAATAAGGACCTTGGTAGTTTCCATATAGCCACAAGATCATCTCTGACTACAAAAATGGATCATGATCAAGACTGGAAAATGGAGACACTTGTCTAAGCAGAGTCATTCTCTTAAAATAGAATCTCATCATTCTATTGAAATCTTAAAAAATTAAAAAATACTGTGGAAACAGAGAGGATAAAAGAAACATCTGAAAAACAAATAAGAGTTTGCTACATGAAAAAACATATAAGGCCATAGCAGTGTAATTTCTGATTGCATCATAGTCTTTATTCCTTTTCTCACTGTCAATTCTTACTAGTTAATATTATTCCTACTGTAAATTTGGGAAACAGAAGAATGAAGAAGTTATTTTACTTTCCAGCAGCCATCCATGAATCCTGTGGCAATACAGAGATGTGCACACACAATTCGCAAGAGCCAGGTGAACACTGCAGCCATTGCACGTTCCAGCTTCTCACTGAGAAAAGCAGAGGGAAGAATGTGTGTCTCAACATCAGCAGTCTAAACTGAGATCTAGCAGGCAACGTATGTCAGAGTTTTACTTACACATACCATTCACTAGATAGTATTTTAGAGTTGGGTTCTCTCTCCTGAGAAAAATCACACTTGTTGCTGGGCTTTCTGCCCTGGAATACCATTTTTATTTCATTACCAGTGGGACTTCCAGTGCCAGAAGATTAGTGCAGGCAGGCCCCATGGCTCAGGATTTCTGAGAACAAAGCAGGCAGCAAGAATCAGCTTGAACAGTTTTCATTGACTGTACTGCATAAAAGTGATGAAAGGTTCTCTCCTGTAAGAGAGACAGATGAGCGACTTATAAGAAGCAACCACAGAGCTTTAGCAGGAGTATCTATTACTGTGTGCTTTTCTAAGGGGAGTCAACATCCCAGCTAGGCATACAGATTTGAGTAGATGTAGCTGACTTTCAAGCCTGAAAGTAACGGCAAAAGAGCTGCTTGTTGGCTGTTTTTTGAAATGTGTTTTCAGTCAGTAATTCTCCGGATAAAACATCTCTCTTTTTTTTGTCATTTAGCCAATTATTTCTAAAATATAATTGTCAGAGAGCTGAATCCTGTCTATGTATAGAAGTTTATGGGTTTTTTTCCAGGATTTTTTTTCCCTACATGTTTGTATTTAAACCCTGGTATTTACAGTTTGTGCTAAGATTTTTCAAATCTTGATGGGATTTTTATAGGCAAAGTGAAATTAGAAATTATCATTAAATGTTATATTTGTAGCTGCATTTCCTTCTTCCTAGCAGTAAAAATAAGTGTGCAGACATGGAAAATGGAATTCTTCTGTGCTGGAATCTTCTTGTTCATTTTCTAAGAGGTACAATATGAGTATCAACAACTTCTTTCCTTCCTTTTTTTGCTAAAACAATACAAATAAGTGGACGCTTTATAAGAAGCAATACTTTTGCATTGAACATTGGAGTTTAATTGTGCAGAGTTTGGAAGGAAAGATCTGGCCAGCTCATAACCGTCTTGCTGCAGTAATTGATTCATATCCCTCGTCCTTCAAGGGAAAGAGTGGGAAGCATAGTTATTGAAAAGTATTATTGGAGCAGTACATTTAAAGGTCAGGTCAAATCTGGCATTTAGGTGGTCTTTTATTTCTCCAAGCCTGTAATGACGGGCTAATTTTCCCTGAACCTCATCTTAAATCTTAGCCCTTCACGGTAAATGAAGTGTTTCTGGTTATTAGGCTTGAGGAATACTGGGGGCCTGACCATTCCATAGAAAAGGAAAGCAAGGCATGTGGCAAATCAGTAAGCAAAGGCAAACCAGTATGGTACAAGGACTCTTTGATGAGACAAAATATGACAACTAAGACATGTGAGGTGTGTGGAGAGACTAAATGGACAAATGTAGAAGTAGAAATGTCATGATTTACAAACAGTACAACACTTGTAGGTATTGTGTGTGTGTATTTAAACTTGCACCCACTCACATATTGTTTATATAAAAATACATAAACTATATAAGGGAATCAGACATTCAGAAGTTTAGAAGGTGGCTGAACTATGCTTGCCTGTTGGGAAACTGCTAAAATCATGCAGTGAGGTAATGTCTTTTGACTTCTGACTTTCTGCTCTTCCTGAGCTCCATAGTGCTGTGTTGCCAGAGGTCCTACCCAGCATTTCAAAGCTTCTGAAAAACTTTTTCCTTGGGAATATGTTTAAGATTGCACAGGTTCTTGTACTGGTGCTATCTGCATCTCTGCTGTTCTTTGCACGCAGCAGTAACCTGAGGAGAGAAGTTTGACTCTGGATGAAGAGAGGCCTATCTGGGTGTGATATATTGGCTTATAATAGCTGCCATACAAGACTTCATGGTAAGGCTGTTTGGGTGTGCTGTCCTGGATTATGATAGCTGGCATTAAACTATCCAATAAATAAACATTTGTGTGCTAAGTCACATACTTTGTTCTTTCACCATATTTACAGGTAAGCTTTAGTTGATGCAAGGTGAACAGAAGATTGCGGTTTGGATCCCACAGTAACACTCAAATAGTTCTGCCCATGCTGGGTTTCAGCCCTTGGGGAAATCAGGATCACTTCTACTGGTGCCTTTCTCAGGCTGTCGTATAGTAGATGTGGCAGGTACCTAACTTGTGTCAGTGCCTTTTCAGTTGCATTTATTTTCCAAGCGGCTTGAACTGTCTTATTGCTGCCAGACAGTATGAGGGCTGAGCCATACTCTCAAATCATGAAAATACCAATCAGTAAGAGATATTTTATGTGATCTCTCATCAGATTTAAGGCTCTGTCCCACAGATTATGGTTATGACAAGCCATGTAATAATTATTGATGGTGCACAAAGGATTACTCAATTCCTTTGAAGTTCTCCACTACAAAATGCTTTTAGCAATTACTGTGAAAATCACAAGGTTCACGTGTTGCTGCTTTCTATTTGCATATCAGTCAGCCTGAAGGTTTGTGCCTCTGTGAAAGTGTGTGTGTGTGTGTGTGTGTGGTGTTGCCTAGATGTAATGAGAATGAATCTTCTTCATTCCTCCCACTTTAAAACCAATATTTTCCTTGAAATTTCAATCTAGGATAAGATGAAATAGCAGGGAAGATGTTTTATCTGAAAAAGTTGTTTCGTCCAACCCTCTATCTTGATGGTAGACATTGATACAGTGCTGTGCAGCTGCATTCTGCTTTATATCATTCACATAAAAACATCTTGTCCCAGTTTCTCACCTTTAAGCATCTTGAATTTGTAACTGAAGGGAAGGCTTTTTTCCCCAGACTGGATTGGTAACTTCTGGGCTGATCTAACACAGGTATCTGGATACCATATGACTAGAGAGGAATGGATAAAAGTTAGTACTGATGGTGCCTTGGCCCCTGTCCTCTGTAGAGTTAATTCTTGTTTGGTGTATCTTGTGAAGAGCAAAGATATTCTAAAGAGACCCTGACCTTTTAGTAAATACGGTTAGATGAAAAACATGTTTGCTTAAACTTTTGAGTGTCACAGATTGTGAAAAGAAGGGAGCCCTTCACAGGAAGGAGTAAACCTTTTGTAGATCACTGCTTGCAGCCTGCTGCACAGTATGGAGTGAGAGTTTCTTTGTGTTGTTTATTTGTATAGAGATAGCAGCTACAGGATTGAAGATACATACAGCATGTGTATCTATGCAAATACAGATGCGTTGTAACACAGAAAGGAAGAGATGACAGGTGGATGCAGCTAACACTTATGAAAGGCAAAAGTAATAGTGATAGGACTATAAGATGTCACAACAGACCGGTACTTTAGATGAAAAAGATGGGGTTTAGGAAGAGAGTTTAAAGGGCTTCTTGCAAGCACAGCTCTGTATTCTCACGTGAACTCTTAATGTTCGTGTGGCAGGGAATATTGTCCAAAGCAGCATTTGCATTATTATTACTCTGCTCCACATTCTGACAGTACCAGTCACCACTGACTCTTTCTGGTTTTACTGTCATGAATTTAGATATTTCTGAATGTAGACAAGTGGAAGACAAAAGGACATTCCATGTTTTGTTTCTGGTGCTCTTTCCCAGTTCAGTTCCTCTGGGAATAGTTCAAAAAAGACACTGTGCAGCAGAAGATTAAGTGCAAGACAAGAAAGCCAACTGAGTTTTGCCCACTAGTTTACTAAATGTCTCGGGGCATATAATTTAACTTTTTGGTGGTAAAATATGAACCGTTACAAGTGGATGAGAATTGATTAGATGACTGAAAAAATCATCTAGATAGGGCATCAAAGGATCCTGCTTTTTAACACTGTATGACTTTAAAGTTACTTATTCTATCTAGGTAATGAATTTAATAGACAATTCCTTGTGTGAAGAGCTTTCAGCCTTGTGAGTAAAAAGAACTGTATAAACATCAGCCACTGTTACCAATAATTTTGGATGTTCACATTCTTCACACTTTTTGTAGCAATAGTGTGCACTTTAAAGTTTCTGGAAGACTTAGGGGTAACATGGTTGGTGCTGTAATCACTTGCTGTGAACCATCTTGGAGAAAGTACAGGCTCTTTTGAAGCTGTATCCTTTTCCTCTCCATCCAGCGTCCCATCATCTCCATCTGTTGGGGTCACAGGGATTCGCGCCTGCTGATGGCTTCCGGACCTGCATTATATGTCGTCAGAGTCGAGCACAGGGTCTCCAGTCTGCAGCTGCTGTGCCAGCAGACCATCGCTAGCTGTCTGCGGGATGACAAGGATATCAGCAAACTGACCCTGCCCCCGCGGCTCTGCTCGTACCTCACCACTGCCTTTATACCAACAATCAAGGTAAAAGGAGAGAAACGTGTGTGTGTGAGGAAGGAGAAAGGGTTGCTTGATTTCCCCTGCCATGGTGCTCCTAAGTGACAATGGTTAAATTATAAGATAATATAATTATCATAATTGTCATTTTAAAAGTTTGATTAAGGTCATTCCTGTCCTCTTCAAGAGCCCACTGATGCATTTGGCACCTATTAAAATCTGAAAAGAAGCTCACACATGCTGATCTGCATTATTCCATGGGGATGGTCTTTCCAAGGACATCCCAAGGGTAGAATATGCTGGTGACTCACAGAGACTTCTGAAGAAACTCACGCTGATGATAGTGCTGTGTCACGGTTATAGGAGAGATTCACGGTGGTAAAACTGTTGCCTCCCTACTTGTTAAGTGAGTCCTTGTAGTGCCAGAAAGTTACACTTCAGACCTGTGGCTGCCCAAGTATTTCTACCGATAGTGAATTCTGCTAACCTTACTGCTCCAGTGGTGCTATGGAAAAATGAATCAGATATTACACCTTTTCCTGTACCACTAGCAGAGCCATCTGTTAATCCCTTTGTTTCATGGTTTTGCCCTCAGTCACATCTCAGGATTTCCAGACTCTTTATCACAGCCTATAAACCAGAGCATTAGCTGGTAAATGCTCTACATTCAAACATGTATTTTTGTGTATGTGTTACAGCATTCTCTTGAGTTTCAGGTCCTTGTTAAAACAATGCAGAACTAGAATAACTGATTTGAGATCAGTGGAGTTGGCCCAGATTAAATGAGAACAAATTATGTCTATAAAATAATGATTCAGCACGGTTCCATTTGGGTACTGGTAATCAGGGCAATTTGTGCAACTCTGAAACATTTCATTTGCCAGAGAAGAATAAATGCCTTGTTGTAACCACAACTCCTCAATCTCCAAAACGCAGAGCATTTAACAGATCAATTGTTCTCAGTTCTTTCTAGCACGCCTACTTCTCCCCAGGATGCTTTCCATGTTGTCCCAGAGCCACCCCTGCACCTCTCTGGAGTATCAGTGATGCTTGCTTGGCTGGGGAGGGGAGGGGATGAAGGCAGATGTTGGCTGTAGCAAGGCTGGGAGCCATGACAGGGATCAGAGGGGCAGAGGCAGTACAGGGGCACGCCATTGCAGACCACCTCCTAGAGGGGATGCCAGGGTCAGCAGCAGTTGCATGGCTGCATAGCAAAGAGGCTGAAGCGGGGTTCCCAGGAGCCACATGTCCCTGCTGTTTCATGGGTGTTTCTGGAGCCTCCTCAGCACTGCTTTATACTTTCTGCTGGCTCTCCCTCAGCGACATACTCCCACCTACGTTGTCAGCTATGCCTCCAGTGCCTGGCAAGCCACCCTCTTCCCTGAATACATTCCTCTTCCCTCTCCAGCTTGAGGACTACATTATAGATCACTCCTCAGCCCATATCCATCTCAGCCATGTTAAGGAGGCTCTTTTTTTCCCCTACTTCTTTTCTTGTACTTTCATTTTGAAAGAAACTGTAGTAGTACATTAGTGGTTTTGTGTCATGCAGGCTATATTGTCCTAGGCAAAAGCAATCCAACTGCTTCAGGACTAAGCTTTTCATGGATTAGTACAGTGTGCTGGCAAGCAGAACAAAATAACCCACCCTGAGCTTTGTGCTCGTATTTCTCCACACTGCATGCAAATAGGCCCTCAACAAAGATGGGTCATGTGCTTAGAAGTGATCTAAGAAGTACATGCTTCTTCCAGAGCTGACAGCATTGTGGCACAGTAGCATAGCGTGTACCAGTACTGACCAGGAATGAGAACCTGAGTGGCCAAGTTCACTTGGAGGACCAGCAAGAGACAAGATACTGTGAGACTTAGACTTGACCACATTATCCAATGTTAAAAGAGAAGCTTGTGATAGAGCTGGGGTTTGAAGACAGGTTTGTTGTTTTCAGTGCTCTTAACCACAGGTACAGCTGTCCTGATGTAACTAGTTTTAGTTTCTGTGTACAGCTGCTTTTGACCTAACTAAATAATACATAGTCACTGTCTTGCATGTGTGTCCTGCATAACTCATGCAGTAATCTGTATTAATCTTGACCTGCCAAATTAGAATTGGGTTCAAATTCAGTTAGCTGTGTTAGGATTAAGTCACCACATTAAAAAAAACCACAATAACCTATAGGAAACTTTCTCTTTCCTCCCTTCATTTAATTAAGCCTCCTATCCCAGACCCAAACAATATGAGAGATTTTGTCAGCTACCCAACAGCTGGTAACGAACGGCTTCACTGCACGATGAAGCGGACAGAAGATGACCCAGAGGTTGGTGGTCCATGTTATACTCTGTATCTGGAATACCTTGGGGGACTGGTGCCTATCCTGAAAGGTCGTCGTATCAGCAAGTTGCGGCCAGAGTTTGTCATCATGGATCCTAAAACAGATGGAAAAGCAGGTAGAATTGAATTGTTGCTCTCTATAAAAAAAATATTTAGAAATACTTCAGATACTAAATCTTCAAGAGTTAAAGAAAATCTAGATATGCAACATGGAAGGTGGCATCAGATACATTTTTGCTGATGCAAAAAAAGTCTTTAGCATGACTTACACTCAAGCCTCTGAAATTATACCATGCTGTCTTCTGCTTTACAAAAGGGAACTTGTATTTTGAATAGTGGGGAATTAGTAGAAAATACTCTTTAATCTTAATTTTGAAATTCAACTGAATGCTATTCACCTCTGAATTATGTTCACTTGAGTTCAAACTGTTGGAAATTTGGAGTTTATACTAGGCAGGTTGAAGAACAGTTAATTTTCTCTGCATAGTTTTATCTCAACTGCTGTCCGTGGATCGGATTTATGCTTCTGATGACTGATAGTTGTAACTGATATCAGTTTTCTGAAGCAGCACTTACATTTTCTGGGGCCTGTTTTGATAGATGAAATCTATGGAAACAGCTTGATTTCCACTGTGATTGACAGCTGTAACTGCTCGGACTCCAGCGATATTGAACTGAGTGATGACTGGGCAGCAAAGAAATCTCCCAAAATCAGTCGAGCTAGCAAATCACCCAAACTTCCCAGGTAATAATTTCCTGGATATTTCTTCTTCTTCTTCCCTAGTTTTTCTTTTTTCTTTTATTTTTTTTTCCAAATGTTGTCTTGATAAAATTAAAAATAAGTATTGATAAAATTAAAAGCAAATTCCTTTGGGCAGATAGGAGTCTTCTGGAGGAGTAGGGTCCTCTATGGTGTGTAGTTCTGGGGTGATCTCAGAGCTTGATGTTGAGGTGGACTTTGTGTAAGGTTCTGGGACAAAAGGTGATGGGAACAACAGGGCACCACTTCTCCCCAAGCAGTATTGAAGAATTATTTTATAAACTCTCCCACCATTGCATCTGCCACATCTAAACTCTTGCCACTGTAGGATATATTTTGTCCTTCAGACAACCTGTGTTTTCATCTCCTCTGTGCTTTGGGTCCTTTGTCTAGTTAAAACCTTTATTTCCTCGGGGGTATTTTCAAATTCATAAGTCCATGCATAGGTGGCATAGATCCTGGTGTAGGTGGCACTGCTGCTGTGGTGACCTTGCAAGGGAGCCTCAGCAAACAGATCCTCCTAAGCACTGGGTTGACAAGCTTCTGTAACGATATGCAAAATAAGCTTATTATTAATCTTGTTGCTTTCCTGCCAGCTCTTCATTATATTCATTATGTACATAGGACCCTTCACCTGCACAGAGTCTCGCTGATGTCTGATGCTTCTCATAGGCACTGTTGTCTCTCTGCCATCTTCATGTTATGGGGTTGAGGCCCTGATGCTGTCTAGCTGCAGCTGACGCTTTTCCAAAGACCTTACATGATGAGCTTGCCCTAGTATGAGGCAAAGCAACTGCAGCCTTTTATATGTGAACATAATGTGTGAAATACTGAAATTTTAGTTTAGTAGAACTTGACATTTAGTTTAGTAGAACTTGACATTAATTCCTGAGCCTAAAACTGAAATGGTGCAGGAAAAACAACTGTGCTGCATCCTTGGTTTTCTAAGAGTGTACTTTTGACATGTAACTTTTGTTCATTATTTTTTCTGCCAGTGAGCTTTTATAGGTGCTTGATCTCTTATTTGTGACCCGCTTTGTACAGTGGGAGGTAGGAATAACTTTTTAGAGTAAGAGCACTGACAAAGTTTGTGGAACCTTGGTTTGCTGTACTAATGTGGAAATCTGCCAGCTGAGGTGTCATGTTTGCATTTCTTGAGACTGTGCTCGAAGCTGAAATAGCCCTACACCTTTATTATGAGTTCGTGGAGGATGTGGTGTATCTGGAAGAACTGCTGTAAGCTTTGTTAAATGAACCAGAAAGCATCCAGTCAAAGTTACTGCAAGTGTGTCAGGCCTTATATCTCTTTAAATTTCACCCATAACTCCCATCCTGTAGACTCTATTAGTCTTCATTAGTCACTTAGAGGACACCATACCAGTTGTCTTCATAACATCTTTACATTCAAAACCATGAATTTTGTGCATTTTTGTATGCCTGGTGATGATTCTAATTATTGCTTTATATGCAGAATCAATATAGAAGCTCGCAAATCTCCAAAGATGTCACGAGCTGCACAGGAGATATCAAGATCGCCAAGGTTACCAATAAGGAAACCTTCTATTGGTTCACCAAGCCTAACCCGAAGAGAGTTTCCTTTAGAAGATATTACTCAGGTATTGTGCACATTACCAGACCTGAGTCCAAATGCATCTCCTACTAGAAGCAGCAAGTTGTCATATACATAAATGATCACCAATAAAAAAAATTATAGTAGCTAAATGGAACAACTAGAGGATTTTATGTTCCAGTTCAATGTTAATGTTTAAAAGTGTCAGTGGAGTATCAGGCATTGTTTGATAAATCCTGGCACCAGTAACTTCTGTCAGCGTTAATCCATGTGAGAGGTTTTATTCTAGGTGATGTTGTTGGCAGTTTGAAAGTGTATGTGAAAATGCTTCTTATTCAGTTTCTCAGAGCTGTCCTAGTGCCACCATAGTTCTCTGCTTTGCTAAGAATTGCAGAGATAAGGAAATGCTTACTTCAGAGAGCCACGTGTTCTCTGCTTCATAATTTATAGAATCGTAGAATGGTTAAAGGTCATCTAGTCCACCCCCCCTGCCATGGGAAGGGACATCTTCAACTAGATCAGGAACATGGAACTGCCTTAATTGGAAGGAAGGCAAGGAATTAGCACTTTGTGCTTTTTGTAGTGTTCATGACCTGTGGGTAAATGAAACTTAGCAGGCTGTAGAACTGTCTGGGTTACATATTTTATTAATACCAGCCTGCATTCTTTTAATTTTGTTTTGTTTCATATCAGTTGTTCTTTTCTGCTCTGTCTTTTCACTTTTTCCTCTATATTGAAACATTCAAGATACTTACATAGCAGCAGTATATAGGACCAAAAGTCCTTTGAATAGGGCAGGAGACCAGAGGCTTAGATCCTGCTCCTGATATTGACAGTGTAGCGCTTGGCCTTTGAGAAAATCTCTTGGTCTTTCAGACCTATAATTTGATCACCATGGAAGCAGTGATTTGGGAAACTGCTTTGGAAGCTACAGGAAGAATATGTTTGTCAATATGAGTAATTAATTTCTGTCTTATTTATTGTTCTATAAAGTGATTTGTAAATATAGAACTAACAGGCAGGGTGTATTACTTTCTGAAATGCACAATAGCCATGCTCTTGTTGTGCAAGAGAAGCAAGCATCTGAAAACAGACCTATTCACACTAAGCAGCCATCACGTTCAGATCTTCAACAGCTTTAATCAGCTTGTGTGGCTGTTGTATACATCATTTCTGATGGGGTTCAGATATCAAAATGAGACTTCTTAGTGACTGGGTATAACAGTTGCTACATAGGCACAGCAGGCTGTTTCAATAAAATAAAACCAAGAGAAGTTGAAATTGTATTATTACTTGCAATAGCTTGATTGCTCTGCAGGTTTTTATTAGAGCTTTTTACAGATTTTATTAGGTGAAAATGATCTTGTTTTTGCTTTGCAGCACAACTACCTTGCTCAGGTCACATCTAATATCTGGGGAACAAAATTTAAAATAGTGGGTTTGGCTGCTTTCCTACCAACTAACCTTGGTGCAGGTAAAAGTAAACTCTATTGATTTTTTGCATGTGAAACTCTTTCTAACAAATAAAGTTACATGCCTGTGATTTCTTTTTAAGTCATCAAGAGTTCTTTAACAAAGCACTTATTTTGTGTGGACAGTAGGAATTAGATTTTACAAAATTCACTGTAACTAAAAGACATTAAAACCTATAAATACAATAACAAGATGAACAATAAAATGTTAAAAGTCTCAGCTGTAATAAAAAGATTAATTAAAAGCCCAGACCTTTATTTTTACCGTTTATTTGAACAAAACTCCCCAAAAATAAGAAAAAATTTTGAGAAGACTATAAAAATCGTAGTGTTTAAGTTACTGTAATAGAAGTATTCTTTAAACTCAGATTTTTATAGTCAGTTAAAAAAGCTCTTACAGCATCATGCTCAGGATTCTTCAAGTCAGTGCATAGCCTTATCATACGGTTCTCTTGCTGGAGCATCAGTAAATTGGTAGCCTTCATTAAAAGTAGCAGTTGCCTAATCTCTTGACCTTCTTGTGTGTGTGCCATTTCTCCCTAGATAGTCCTGTGGAAAGGAAGAAGGCTAAGTAAAGAACAGGGTACCACCTAGCAGAACTAAGCTCTGAACTGAAATATTAATGCAAGTATTAGGAGTTTTACAAGCTCTTTGGAAACCTTATTTTCTCCTGTGTTGCATTATATAGTCAGGTCAGGACTACATAATGATGCCCTGGATGCAGAATTAGTTAAAATAGATAACTTTTGTAGCTATATTTACTGTTGGACAAGAGATGGAGTCCAGATACTGGGGAGAGGACCTTCTCTGGCCCAGCCTCCAGGCAAAGGTTGTCCTCTCAGGATGTTGTCACCCTGGGAACAACCAGTGCTGCTATTATGGAAGCCCTTGGGTTTGTTCCAGCCACTTTTTTTTTTTTTTACAAATTTTTGACATCTGCATTTGCAGTGTTTGTCAAAAGATAGTGTAGGAGTGACTCTACTGGTTTAGACCAGAGGTCATTCTGATTCTTTTATTACCAGTGACAGATATGTAGTGGAGGATATAAGTGTAGAGTAAGTGTGTGGTAACACTTCCTTCAAATGTCCTCCCAGTCTCCGGTGGTTTGAGTCCCAGGGACTTCCTGAGACAGGAGGGGCTTCTTTGTGTGTAGTAACCCTCAACAGATTTCCTTCCTGAGAGCTTTCCAGTTTTCCCCTAAAGTCATATAAGTTGGTAGCTTCCTGTGGTGGAGTTCCAAAAGTAGAATGGAAAAATTATTTTCCTTCTGCAAAAATAGATGTGAATACCAGATGAAGTAATTCATTATTTCTACAGATTATTTAACTACAGAGATGCTGCTTCTATTTAAAGAGAAATAGCTTAAAGTAACAATCCGTTTTATCCTGTTTATGCAAAGTGTTACACCGTGATTTGGCTAAGAATGGCCCATATATGCATTTGTTGATTAATACATTAAATAAAAATAGATGTAACTCTTCTGTCTGCTTTGAATTGGTTCATTCTTAGCTTTAGATGCTCTTTGTGTTACAAATTTTTGTAATTTCTTGTTATACTCTTTCTCCAGTAATATATAAAACCAGTTTGCTGCATCTTCAGCCCAGGCAGATGACAATATATCTCCCAGAAGTGCGGAAAATTTCAATGGACTACATTAACCTGCCTGTCTTTAATCCAAATGTTTTCAGCGAAGATGAAGATGATTTACCAGGTAAGGAAGAGCTGGAGATCTGCCGTGTTGTGGATTAAGCTAGATGGAGGACAGATCACTTGTGTCCCTTGCCCCCTCTGGTAAACACACAAATCAAAATCCCTTAGTCTGATGGGGTCCTGTAGAACTGAATTAGAATAAGGCTAATATGTGTTATGGACATTCTTTTCTAAAATATGTGGAAAATATAATCCATATAGAGCTGCTAAGTTTCAGGTTCATTGAAAAATCAATCATCTTCTATTTAGTTTGCCAAGAATTCTCTGTAGACCAAAGCCTTGAATTCTTCATCTTTGTAGGACAGAATTGTAATGTGTTGGAAGCCTAAAAGGGTCGTTCTTGTGACTCGATGGCAGCAAAACACAGCCTGATGATAGGGGCTTGGGTTGGAGGGGAGGTTCCCATAAAACTCAGCCACCCTTTGAGAAGTGATAAATGCCCATTTGGCATTTATCAATACCAGGTCTTACAGAGAGGTCTTTACAGAGAGTAAATAGTCTATAAACAAGAGGATCAAGAAGAATTTCTCATTTCACTGAGATGTAAGGTAGCAGAAGATTCAAGCAGTTCAGGGAAGGCTTGCATGCAGGTGATGTGAATATGGCAGGTGAAAGGACTGGAAGTACACAGGACCTCCTCCAGTCCAAAAAAAAAAAATCATGCCAATAAAATTAAGAAATAATAGGCAAGAAGGTAAAATAATACCTTTTCTGAATTTTTACATCAGTGAGGGATTCCTGTTGCCAAGTCACAGTAAGACAAAAATTAAATAGAAGAAAAAAAAAATAAAGCTTTCACATGGCTTCCTGAAAATTTGATTAGATCTGCAGTATCAATTCTTTTTATATTATTAAAAGAGCTGAAATACTACTCAGAATTGCAGGTTGGTGAACACCACAAAAATGTAGGGAAAACTGTTAGAGAATTTTGTTAGAGCTTTTTGAAAAGGCTAGTAAAAGGATCATACTACCCTGTCCTCCATAACAACCTTCTTGTCCACTTTTTTCTTTCTAGTTTCTTCTGAAAATTCATTTCTGACTTAGCAAATGGAAGCTACTTAAATCTTCAAAACATTTTTGTGGATATCCTTTCTTACAGACTGCATATAAAGGAAAAAAGTGGCATATACTAATGGTAAAAAATATTGCAGTGTAAATAATGATTACATGGTAGATAAAAAAAAAATAGTAGAAAGCTGCTCTTGGGCACTGAAATGTTCACTGAAGAGTATGTACTCTTGGGACGGGTGTTTTTTAACGTAGTCAGTAAAGATTTGGCAAGGCAAATGGACAGTGAATTGATTTAATTTGCAAATTATGCAAACAAATCAATTAAAAACTATCAGAGAAATGAAAAAAGCATTGCATTTAAACACTTTGAGATATTAAGCAACATGGCAACGAATGACATTTTGTTTGATAAGGCATTTAATACCCATGACAGCAACATTCTGTGCTGCTCAAGCCAAGCTAACAATTAAACCTCAGGCTCTGATGGATAAATTGCTAACCTGCAGGCATCAGGATGAAAGCATGGCCTGCCAGCTGAGCACAGAACCACGCTGCCTTAGGGCCAGTTAAGTTTAGCTGTCAGTCTTCTTCTAAAGGAATGAACAGAACTACCATAAAAATTTGCCAGCATAGCCACAGACCTATCTGTACAGCTACCACATTTGTGACTGATACTGATAAAAGCCTAATGCTATCAGAAATATAGGGCATAGATAGATGACTAGACTTTTAATTAAAACTTAACTGGGGACTGGGCCGTAGCTGGAGGAGTCCTGACTAATGGATCTCTTGCCTGATCTGGTCTTGCAAATCAGAAGTCTCCACAGAATTTGGCACACTTAAAAGATCCTGGATATTACTCTAGTCTCTTTTCATCCCATAAACTTGTTGATGCAACTTATCATTTTTCATGGTTTTTGTACAGGAAAACTAATAAAAGAATCTGCAAGATTCTTGGGGATTTTAATATAGTACTTAGTTTCCTCTCATTATTATATTTTGTTCCTTCTTATCCTGACTTAGGCACGCATGCTTGGTTCCAATGTCCTCATTTCCCTACCAGCTTTTCAGTGGTAGTTTCTGTTGGAATCACCTTCACCACTTTTGCAAAAGGAACTGCAAGCAATTGAGCAAGCTCCATGCTTCTGCTTAAAATTATCAGACTTGCTTCTTGCCTCACTGTCCTTTGTTTATCACCACCACATGTGGGAAACTTTTCCTACATTGCTTCTTTTCACCTTTCTGATTGCAGCCTGTCCAAACATTGACACTGAAGTTGCCCTGGCTACAGTACCCACGTCTTGAATCTTTTGGGCATCCCATCTATTTTGTCACGTCCTTTCCTTACAAATCCTTCAAGAACTTTTGTCAGTAAATTTTGTCAGTATTTCATTCCATCATATTCCTCTCTCTCTTTGTTTCATCATCCTTCTTTTTGCATTACTGGTTGCTTTGTCACCCACTATACTTGAGAGAATAACCTTCCCTTGAGAGAAGGGAGGTTGCCTAACCTGTGAGACGAATCACAGAATCATCTAGGTTAGAAAAGACCTTGAAGATCATCCAGTCCAACCATTAACCTAACACTGACAGTTCCTTAGCTCTATGTCAGCCCGACTCTTAAACACCTCCAGGGCTGGGGACTCCACCACCATCCTGGGCAGCCCATTCCAATGCCTAACAACCCATTCTGTGAAAAATGCTTCCAATTATCCAGTCTAAACCTTCCTTGGCACAACTTAAGGCCATTACCTTTTGTCCTATTGCTTTCCCAACAGTTTTCCCAACTGTTGTCTGTATTCTCCAGTTCTCCTAAGCTCAGAGTCTGGGTACATTGTACTAGACGCTATACAGTGCCTTCAGTGCAGGTCTTTTTTTTTTTTTTTTTTTTTTTTTTTTTTTTGATGACAACAAACATCAAAGTCAGAACTCATAACTGCTGTTAGATCAGGGCAGGCCTGAGGAGCATCATTTCATCTTCCTCCTGCAGCTTGATTCATTCCCGCCGCGACGACCGCCGCCCTTCCACCCCCGCCCGGGCCTCCGCAGCCACCCCTCGACCTCTGCCTAAAAAAGGGGGAGTTCTCCCTCTACCCAGCGGGGCACTACCAGACGCCCCTAGGGTATGAGCGGATAACCACTTTCGACAGCAGCGGGAACGTGGAGGAGGTATGCCGGCCTCGCACCAGGATGCTCTGCGCCCAGAGCACCTACACCCTGCCGGGGCCCGGCAGCTCCGCCACCTTGCGCATCACCGCCGCCGAGAAGAAGATGCAGCAGCCCTGCACCAGCGCCACCCTGAACCGACTCACGGTCCCCCGTTACTCCATCCCAACTGGGGACCCACCGCCCTACCCCGACATCGCCAGCCAGCTGTCCCAGGGCAGAAGCATCACACAGAGACTGGACAGCAGTATCATTCATGCGACTCTGCGGAGGAACAGCAGAGAGGCAGCCCTGAAAATGGCTCAGCTGGTGGATGGTCAGAGAGCCACCTTACAGCTTCCCCCAAAAGCCAAGAGCAGCGTTGTGACAGCACAGTACCAGCAGAGAGTACCCACTGCCTTGTACACCTGCAGCCAGTGCAGCAGCAGTGGCAGTGGTGGCAGCAGCAACGCGAGCACTGGTGGTATGGGCAACATCACTAGTGCCAATGCTAGTAGCACCACTTCCAGTATTGGTGGCATGAGACCTGATTTGAGCACGGGGAGTGGCTCCCAGCACAGCTCTGTCATTGCTCACTCTGTCAGTACTTCGCCTCTGGCCTCCCAGTCCTCCTACAGCTTGCTGAGCCCGCCTGACAATTCCCGTGACCGAGCAGATTATATCAACTCTGCCTTCACGGAGGATGAGGCCCTTTCTCAGCACTGCCCAGTGGAGAAATCAATACGGCACGTACCCGTGTCTTTGACGGAGGCTGCCCTCGGTGTAAAACGGCCACCACCGTACCAGTGGGACCCTATGGTGAGTGAAGAGATATGGGTTCCTCAGGAAAGGACATCTCAGAGCTCCGTGCCCAACCCTCTAAAACCTACTCCCCTCATCATCGGTCAAGCGCAACATCTGGATATGTCTCGAGTGCCGTTTGTTTCCCCCAAGTCTCCAACCAGTCCCACTGCCACTTTCCAGACAAGTTATGGGGTTGGAGTACCTTACCCAGGAAGCTACAGTGCCCCTCCCCTTCAGGGAATGCAGCCCCCCTGCTCCCCCAAAGAAGCTCTGGCTCCAACGCAGTTTGCACAGCAGGAGCCCACAGTTGTGCTTCAGCCAGGTTATCCATCCAACCTCTCCTATTGCCCTTTGCCACCCATGTATCCGGGAAGTAGCGCCTGCTCTAGTTTACAGCTGCCACCAATCGCCTTGCACCCATGGAGCTCCTACAGCGCCTGCCCGCCCGTACAGAACCCCCAGGGCACCTTGCCCCCCAAGCCGCTCCTTGTGGTGGAGAAGCCAGTCATGTCTCCTCCGCCAGCGGAGCTGCAGGGCCATGTGGGCACAGAGGTAATGGTGGAGACGGCAGACACCTTCCAGGAGGTGCTCTCCTTGACGGAAAGCCCCGTTCCTCAAAGGACAGACAAATTCGGCAAGAAGAGCCGGAAGCGCCTGGACAGTCGAGCTGAGGAAGGAAACGTGCAGGCTATCACCGAGGGCAAGGTCAAAAAGGAGGCAAGGACACTGACCGACTTCAATTCGCTAATATCCAGCCCTCGGCTGGGGAGGGAGAAGAAGAAGGTCAAGAGCCAGAAAGACCAGCTCAAGTCCAAGAAGCTGAACAAGACAAATGAGTTTCAGGACAGTTCGGAGAGTGAGCCAGAGCTTTTTATCAGTGGGGATGAACTGATGAACCAGAGCCAGGGCAGCAAAAAGGGTTGGAAAACCAAAAGGAGTTTGAGGACAGCCAGTGAGCTGGATGAATTCAAGTGCCGGAAGGCCAGCGAGAAGGAGGACGGGAGGCTGGGGAGCCAGGGCTTTGTGTATGTGATGGCCAACAAGCAGCCGCTGTGGAATGAGGCGACACAAGTCTACCAGCTGGACTTCGGAGGGCGGGTGACCCAGGAGTCGGCAAAAAACTTCCAGATTGAGCTGGAAGGACGACAGGTAGGAGAGGGTGGCACACGTGGGCTGGGGTGGGGTCTAGCGTTTGGGAAAGCCGTGCCAGAAATAAGCTCTGTCTCTCATGCAGCCAAGTGCTTCCCACTTGTGATAGCTGCTCTGAAAAAAAGCTTTGCCACGTGGTTAATAAAAACCAGCTGTCAAAGGTCTACATTAAAAAGGGAGGGTGAAGTTCAGTTGTTAAGTAAATGTACAAAATATGTTTGGTCTTACTGCAATCAGACATGGAAATAAGGGCCTTCTTCAGTCTCATGGACTCTTACTGCTGAAGGTAGGTGGGTTTTGTAATAAACACAACGGATCTCCCCAACGATAGCTGCATTTGGTGGTTGTGGGTGGCAGCTAGCTGAGTGAACGCTGCTCCCTTCTTGTGATTCTCACAAAGGTTAGCCAGTCAGCGATGGCTAAGGCAGAGATGATGGATGGGCAGTTAAGTTGCCTCCATGCCAAAACTTCCCCTTGTGGGTTTCCAGGCCTCTAGGTCTAGAGGATGGAGGCACTGACCCTCCCCAGAACAAAGTGCTCCTGGGTGGCTTCTGAACTGCCTGTGAGTAGAGGGGTCTGTGACATTTAATTTTAGGCTCTCTCACCTTGGCCTGATTGGGATGTTACTACACCAAACCCAGTCTTTTAAGTGGTACCAATCAGCAGGACACTGGACTGAGACTCAGGACATACTTATTTCCTTGTCCAGCTATCCCATCTCTGTAAGTCACTTTTGATTTATTAAAGACACAAGGCTCTCAGCTCCATCTGATTGGGAGTTAGATGTCTTAAATATCCAACATGCATGACTAGTGGTGGTCTCTTGGTTTTGTTTGTCTGGAACAGCAGCTCATTAAAAAGGCAGTGGTCAGAGCCATTTATACCCCTTTCTTCTTCAGTTAAATAACTGTGGATACGTTCCTGTGGGCAGCTGTGCAAAATCACCTAGCCACAGGTTTTGTTGGTGGGGGAATAAAGCCTGACTTGGCTTGCACAGCCAACCTCCATTCTAGCTCAAGTCACTGTAGAGCAAATTCGATCTGGGCTTCTGATGAAGAGAATGAAAAAGCAGTAATAATAGGCCAAACTTCAGGTACTCCCTGTAGAAGAACAACAAAAAACCTGACTAGCCTTGCTTTACATTTCAAACAGCTCCCACTGCCCCCTTGCTAATTCATTCTCAGTGTAATTATGTGCTAGTGACGTTTATGCAAAGGAAAACAGAACTGCCAAGAACATACAGCTTACTGGCTATGAAGCACTACAGTCAGGAGATTGGTTATTCCCCTTCCCTGAAAGCTCCTTTCTTTGAAAACAAAATTTTCCTGATGGGCTGATGATAGGATCTCTCCAGAGGAAAGAATGTTTTTTTCCTGCAGGAAGCATGATGCTGGTGTAACCCACATCTGCTGAAGTAATTGGTGACAATCTACTTACTCCAATGCTGTATACAGTCTAACATGTTTTAGAGCTCAATTTACTCGATAGAGTCAAATATTGCGGTCAAATACTCTACACAGACCAATAGTACAGCTCCCTTATTCCTCTTTTTGCATCATACCTCTTTGTGTGAGTAGCCCCGTACATATTAGCTCAGGAGGTGAGATGTTCGTACAAAGGAGCAAAAACATTTTCCTTTTATTCTCTGGTTCCTTTTCTGTGGTTCACTTTTTCTGACTTTGTTCTCTTTTTCCTTCCCTTCTCCTCTTCCCCTGCTTCCCAGGTGATGCAATTTGGAAGGATTGATGGCAATGCTTACATTTTGGACTTTCAGTACCCATTTTCTGCAGTGCAGGCCTTTGCTGTTGCTCTGGCTAATGTGACTCAACGCCTCAAATGAACAAGCAGAGACTGGAGAGAGGAAAATGTTAACCTCATAAAGTCCAAACCAGAAAATGTCAGGGCAGCCTGCTTTAGGTGTGCAGAGGTGCCTGGGAGTGAAGAAGGCAGTAAAACTGGAAAAGTCTCTTGGTGCCCAACAGAAGGGCATTAACTCTAATCAGTCATGGGGTGGAGGGTGGGGGGCTGTTTTCTGTTTTGTTTGTTTGTTTGTTTGTTTTCAGGTGGTTTTTTTTTCTTTTTAAGCGTTGTGCTGGGTCTCAGAAAGAGCGAAGGGTTGAGAGCCATTCAGTGTTACGTGGAGAAGTGTGGCTTTTGGCTTGTTGTGGTGGTTCTGCCGTGTTTGCTACAGTAGCCGATGTAAGCTCATAGGGGGATTAAAAAAGACTGCTCTTTTTGATAGACTGCCTTATATCATGCTGTTCTTTTTAAAACAGGGAACATAACTTTTTTTCTGGTCCAGTTTGTACTACTACTACTATTACTACTACTACTCTACTACATCAGTGATAGCAGCAAAAAAAAAGAAGCTATAATACTTGAAGACACGTGTTTCTTCTCTGATTTCTGATAATAACTGATCGCCACAAGTTCCAAGGAAGCTTATGTAGGTCAATGTTTAATTTATAAATAACGATGTATTATTCAGAAGAGAAACAATTGTTACCAATGGGTGGTTTAAAAACCCAGTGTATCAAAGAAGTTGATGTCTGCTTGTTTTGTGTGCTGTTATTGGGGATAAACATCTTTCAGTAGGTGACAGAAGATAGAGGAGGAAATAATTACAAACATTGCTTCTTTTGTTCTTGGGGATAACCATCTTTCGGTAGGTGACAGAAAATACAGGAGGAAGTAATCATGAGTGTTGCTGCTTTGCTCATATTGATCAGCAGTATTCTGTGATTTGGCCTGTATCTGGGAGAGATAGTGTGACCAGATAGTGTGGCCTCTGAGGCCACACCTGTACACGCTCCTCATTTAACTGTGTTTACACTTTATCAAAGTCTTTCAAGTTAATGAGAAGGCCAAATGTCTTCAGTCTTCTTAGCAATCAGTATGAATCAAGTTCTACAACAGTGTATCAGTGCTTGAACTGGGAAGGAGACAGAAGGGTAGCATTACAAGAAGCAATGTCATGAAGAAAACAATTTCATTACAGGAAACAACATCATGGCTGTCTGGAGAACAAATGAGTTGAAAGAGGAAGGAAAAATTGGACAGAATCATCCCTTTTATCACCTTGCTACTTGAGCAGTCTTTGTGACTGTGGTTTGAGAATATAATGCTCCAGCTAAGAGTGGGAAGCCAAAGTTTACATGGAGAGTTAAGGAGGAAGGCTTAATAACCGCAGCATGACTCTCTGCTGTTCTTTCTGGTGTACATGCAGACCTGGGGAGCATTTCAGAAGGGTTGCTTGCACAGAAGAGTTTCTGTGTTGTCCATGTGTTGTGCACATACTTATTTGCTTTCTCTCTTTCCTCCTTGCCTGCATTTTGCTACAGAATATATTTTGATATGGAAGTAGTTTCCCCAGTAATACACAAAACCCAAAACTATTCATGTAATTATTTGGACATTAGATTACAAAATGTAACTTCAGGTTTCCTTCAGAAATCACTCTTTTGAAGTGAAAGGCACACTGAGAAAGATACGTTGGTTGAGGTGTCGATGGCTGCTTTGTCTTTGTCTCTTATTCACAGTTCAACTTCTTTCTTGAAAAACTCAGTATAACTTAAGATGAATACGTGTGATTTTCTCTCTTTGCTTTTCTTAAATCCTAATGGTAGGGTAGATGTGTGTCACATTTGATTCGTTCTAGAGGAACATATTGCACAAGACCCTGCTGTAGGAGAAGTTCCCAACATGCACTGAGCTTATATCTGCTGTTCTGCTGAGGCTTCACAGCATAGAGGCAGTAATGCCAGAGAGAAGTTTCAGAGAGTTGCCAAGGGAGATGACAAGGCAGATCATCCATAGGTAACATCCCACGGGGTAAGTCCAGGAAAAAACACCTGCAAGATGGTTTCCTTGGAGAGAGGAAGTAATACAGGAAGGAAGGAGGGGGGAAGTAGATGGTACCATCTCTGTATTACCCCTTCTGCTTGCATGTGGGAGTGGTCAGGCACAACATTCTCCTTGGCATCTAGCAGATTTTTGTTTGCTTTAATTAATTTTGTTGAATTTCCATCAGTTTTCTGGGCCTATTTGTATTCTTTCTCACAAGCATGATTTATTCAGCATTTTGAGTGCCTGTAGGTATAGTGTGTATGGAACAGAGGAACAGACATGAATTTGGCTCTGGTCCCTTAAAAATCAATGGAATTGTTTCGCTTGGATTTTTGTGGAGGAAGCACTATTAAGTCCTTTGTCTATATTTAGTTATATATGCTGTACAAACAGCATGTTGAATTCTCAGTCCACCAATTCCAATATATAAGGAGGAAAGTTGGCTGATGAGAATCCTCGCCTTGCCCTAATATCTATGCTAACCAGAGTATAACAGGCGCACATAGAACACCGTAAGAGAAGAAACATACCATGGCTTGCTTGCGTGTTTGCTGAGGCCACCCAGTCACATGTTAGAAATCTTCAGCTGGAAGAAACATCACCTGTAGTTTCAAGCCAAAATTGTTAGTACCATGGAAACAACATGAATGTTTTTTCTGAGCAAAATCTAATCTAAATAGAAGACTTCTGCATGCAGTTTCTTCAACCTTCCAGTGAACAGTATTCCTCTTCGCTTGATTCTTTGTCAACTTTTTCCAGTTATCAGCAGTTTTATGCTAATGGAGAAAAAAGAAATGAAACCCAGTACAAGTAGCAGAGTTAGTAATTTGGTTTCACTTGCCAGGTCACGATTGCATCCTTCTGATGGCACCTACAACGAGTCTTGGCATAGAAAGAGACCTGGTTTCTGCCCCAGCAAAGCACAAGGAATAATTATAAAAAATTAGGAAAATAAATTCAATTTCTGGTTTCCAGTTTACTTGTCAGAAAATGCTATAGGATAAGATTATCTTTTATCTTTTTGAAAATAATTTGTGTCCCTTTAACTGAGGATTTTAATGACATAGAGAATACCCAGCATTAGAGAGAGAAAAAATAGAGTTTTAATGAAAGGAATGGGAATTATGTAAATGTCTGAGCATGCAACTGGAACCCTAAATTATACAGAGAACAATTGAAAGTGACAGTTGCTTTATTTTTCATTGAGATACAACATAGGAAACAAATTTAAAATTCCCCCCAAATAATCACCTAAATCCTGAAGAACACTATTGCATTCAGAAAAAAGATAGACACATTTTATATTTGGTTAGTAAAACCCAGGTTTTCTGTAGATAACTAAGTTCTTCTAGGAAGAATGTAGCAAAGTGTTCAGAAATATCTAGTTCTTTTATACATACAATAATTTCCAGTAGTTAAATGAGGTTTTTTCCAAAGCTTTTTTTAGTTGTGCAATAATTGTGACAGTCATGGGGTTTTATGAGTTTTTTGTTGGCTTTTTTGTTTTTTTTAGGGAGTTTTGAGTGATTTTTTTTTTTTAAGATAATTTAATGCAGATTTCCTGTTAATGTCCAAAAGACATATTATTTATCTGGCGTAATGAAATAACTGATTTAGGGATTATTTTATTTCTATGTATCAGTGAGTTATACACACTTTCTTATTTATATTTAAAGAGTATCTTTGTAAGTAATTGTTTGCTAGCAGTATGTTTTGCTGCCAGAAGTTAAAATGCATATAGGAAAACCTGTTTTTGCTGGATAGTATAAAAAATTTCATAATGCAGGCAGGCAAATATATTTTTTTGGCAACTGAACACAGTGAGTTCACTATGGAGGACTGTGTAGACTACGAGGAGTGTACATGACTTCTTTGGGTCCTGCAGAAATCTGTCCTTCTCCACTGTTTTCCTCCTTTGTTTCTAACTATATACTTCAGTTGGGAGTGGTTTTAAAAATACAAGGCTTGATTTGCTTTCCCTCTTCTTAGTACAGTGCTTTTTCTTGAGATATAAAATCAGGTGGGTCACATGATAAAAGAGGCTATAACGATATAGGCTCAGTTTGTAAGAAGTTCATTGCGTAGTTTAGTAGAGTTTGGCAATGGCGTAATGCAGAGATACAAGCAAACTAGCTTGGAATAAACTAGCTGAGGCACAAGAAATAGGCAGTAGTAGATGCATTTTCCTCTGCTCAGACTAATAACACTCCTTCAGCTGGGCTCAACTGATTCCAGCACAGCCATAGCGCTTTTGATACTGAGCTAGCGCTGCACAGAGCTGATGGAGCTGAGCCCTGACATTGCCTGCAGCAGCTTTGCCTCTTCAGGATGCTCCATCGGAAACCTGGTAGAGCAGGAGTTCCTCCACTCAGCCTTGGAGGTCTGCTCCCACAGCAGCATGAAGCTGCTGTGGGGTTTGGCTGCAGCAGCTTTGAGCAGAGAAAGCCCTGATGCCAGCCAGTGGCCATGGTGACCATTTGAGGTCAGAATCTGCCCCACTGAAAACCTGATTCTTTTGAAACAATATGGCTCATATCCTTGAAATAAAGCTTCTAACAGAGTCTAAAAATTAATACTTAAAGTCTGGTATGAAGTGCACCGTGCATGGAGTGGCAAATTTTAGCTTGAAACGATGAGAATATCATGTTTCTCCGGTATAATGTTTCTGCAACACCCTAAGAAACTATGAGAAGGAGGGGGGTGAAAGAGGAAATAAAAGAAATTAACACATTAGTAATTTTGCACTCAGTTCCAGAGGTAGCAGTAATATGTGCCATGGGCTGTCAGAATATCAGTAAATCTGCACACAGGTTCATGTCAGATAAACTTTGAGTGGTGCAACTGCAAGTAAAACAGTTCCACATTTCTCTCCAGTTTTGTTCCATTGTTTTTATGAAGATGCATGAAGGTCTACAGGTGTCAAAGATACCCGACTTTGCTGAAGCCTTGAGCCTAGACTTTCTGTAGGTCCAGGCTCCTTGATGTGTCTTTTTAGCATCTTCTCTGAAATTTCAAACAAATTTTGGAGCTTGTCTAATCGTTGCCTCAGATAGTTTCTGTGCATTTGCTTTTTGCAGCCTGATGCATGTGATCCTACGTTATCTTGGTGCCCTGTTACCTGTCAGAAACAATTTAAATCCTCCTATGAAGAGAGCAGCATGTTCAAAAACTGATTTGATTGAGAGAAAGGGGAGAGAAGACTTAAGAGTAAGTTTTCACTAGCTTTTAAGAACATGTTTCCCAGATCAACAGTTTAGAAATTGCGCATTTCTACAGAGCCCAAACCACTCCAGACCAGTAAATCTGACTTGGAGATTAGCAACAGATGAGTCACTTGCATGGCGTGCTCTCAGAGAGCCAACTTCTAACCTCACTACATGGTTGCACCAAGATACGTAAGAGTAGAATCCAACCCAAAATGTACTTTCTCATTACTATGTGATTGTAAAGTAATAATTACATATATGACCCATATATCCACTTAAGAAAATTATAAAACACTAGCCAACAACTATATTGACAGTTCTGTATAACCCCCTTTGAAGAATGATAGAAGTAAAATCCTGGCCACAGAGTAGTCATTCAGACAGATATTTGCCTTTTATTCCCCTTTCTAGGATTCCATCACAGGAGAGCAAGCTGTTTATGTTACTTAGAGATTGGCATCATGGTTTTCCCACTAGAAGAGAGTTTTATACTGGAGACAAAAATGGGAAAATTCTGGTAGACTAACATTTTCATTTTCAAGTCCCTTCACCTTCAAGGCAAGCACAATCCTCCGTCAGCAAATACCAATTTAGAGTCTGTTACCCTCAGGAGTAGTCTGCAGGTAGGGCACCACAGGTTCTCTTTGTAGGATTGGAGTTTACATGCACCATTCTTGAAGGAATAAGATTAATTACTACTTGTGAACAATGGGGTATGTGAATTATTTTATCTTTGTATTTATATAATGTTCTAGTAAAAGAATCCTGCAGGAAAGTTTTAAGATTAAAAGACTCAGCTTTGCGTGTTGCCTGATACCTTTGAAGATGTATCAGTTTGGCTGTTGCATCTAGAAAATTAGATTTTTAAGACAAAAGCAATTCACCAAATAATGAAATAAGATTCAGTGAAGCAATTCTTGCTAAGAAAAATAAAAACTTCACCCTTCAATTTTTGATTTTGCAAATGGATCTGTAATGAGAAATTTGTGCTTCAAAGCAAAATTAATTGTGGAGCACTATGCAAATGCACAGGTTTGCTGACTCAGAGCTGACTGCAGGATCAACATGATTTTGTATGACTTAAATGAATGAAACCAAACACATAACCTATCCACAAACACATACCTATCCAGAGCGTTCAATGAAAAAAATAGAGGGTATGATGTTAAAGCCTGCCAGTTTATTCTTAATCCTTGCCCTCCAGTTTACATTATTATGAATTTTAAAATATTATCTGATCCAGCAATTCTGAGTCCTGACAAATGTTGTCTATTTGTGGAAGGTTTATCTTACTGGCCAAGTTGATGGTTTATGTATGGGTTAAGATTAAAGTAATAATAAAAAGGAAACATTTCTGAACAGTGTGCAGACACCTGAGTTTCAAGTATTTCATCAGAATAGTGCTCAGCTTGTAAATCCTACCTATGTTGTTTCAAGCTATTTGTTCAGAACTTTCCTAATTTTCCCTTTGTTTCTTTTGTTTGCTTGATACATGTTTTGCCTTTGGTTGCCTTTTGTTTCACTGTTTCTGCATTCACTGCTTTCTTTTCTTTTTATGTGTTGTGCATTTGGGGGAGGGTATGTCTGTTCAAGATCTCGTTGTTTATTGTAGATACAATATATGGTGTTGTGGAATAGCATGGGGATGCATTTGATTGAAAAGGCACTGTGGTGTTTCCTGAAAAAGAAGGGGAGTTGCATTTGTTTATAAATGCATTATTTTGGTACTATAACTTTGAACATGATTTTGGATTTATTTTTTTTTTTTTTTTATTTAACAGGCATATAGTCATGCAGGTGCATGCATTCTTAAGCTAGCAAGCCCAGCATGTTTTTCTTAAGGCTTTTGAAAATACAGTACACAATTTGTGTACTTTTTCATGCCTATACTGTTTTTAAAATATATTTTTTGGAATCTCAAGTTTTCTTCTTTTTTTTTTCTCCTCAGTATACCATGGTATATCTGGTTTCCACCGTACTTAAAAACTACCCTGATCTGCCTCTCCTTTTATGTATCTTGTGTAATAGAATTTGCAGGAGGTGCCTAGAAAGCATTGTTGGTTTCCCTATAAAAATGTGGTTTGTCCAAATTCTTTACTGTCTACATGATTGAGAGATGGACTGATTGCCCTATTTTTCCTTGATGATTTGGAGTTGTAAGAGTTGTCCAGCTGTTGCTTAATAAAATTTTGCAGACTAGAAAATTCCTGACTTCTTGTTTTTGTTGCATTCTGCATCTTGTCAAGCACCTTAAATATTTTTAAAGCAGGTGACAAATTTGTGCTGGACCAACCTGAATAATAAATTGCCAGATGCTGTTATGGTTTCTCTTTTCAGTAACTGTATCCACAAGTTCCACTCAACCTGATGCGTGTACCAGCCCATCACACTTTGTGTCATTCATATAGGAGGATGGATGGCAAAGATTTTGTGGTAATAATGCCTATCTGCCTGGGTATCAGCCGATTCTTGTGCTATTTCTCCTCTGCTTGCTTTCCTTTTTAAGGAAATTACTTGGGGGGGTTTTGGTACTTCTCATTTTGTCATTGATATACCAGAAACTTCAACATTAGCATGAGAGATTCCTCTGTCCTGTCATCTTTAACAACAGAATAAAATGCTGTGGTGGCCAGTGTTCCAACAGAATAAAATGCTGTGATGGCCAGTGTTCATTCTCTGTTTTTTAGCTAAAATAAGCATTCTGGGGACTGAGAAAATTTTTTTTAAAGGTAGTAAAGAATCTTATTTTGCATAATAAACATCCCAGCTGTGTCACAAATGAAAGAATCCTGGCATGGATCCTCACCTGTTCATCATATTCATTGGTGGCCTTGAAAAGAGTTTGAATAGTGAGCTACAGAGTTTACTGATGATACAAAGTTATTCAAAATAATAAAGGCAGTGGCCAACTATTAGGAATCTCAGAAAGTCTTTTTGAAACTTGGCAATAAAACAGCAGGTAAAACTCAGTCTGGGTAAATTAAAGTGATACGCAGGGAAAAAAACAGTCCTAACTTCACATTTGCAGTAATGGTCTCTGTAGGAATCTCTAATATTCAGGAGAGACCTCTTGAGAGTTTGATAGATAGCTCTCTGAAAACATCAGATTGGTGCTCAGCAGCAGTCAAAAGAGGAAATTAAAATATTGGTAATGATTAGGAAAATAATTGACAGCAAAGCAGAAAATCCAGGATTACTGTATAAAAGTGCAATTCGCCACAGTTCGCATACTGTGTAGTACTGGTCCCCTTTGTCTCAGAAAAAGTAGAGGTCTAGAGGAGATTCACAAAAGGGCAACAGAAGGCACAAATCTACTTCTAGATAAGGAATGACTGCAAAGGCTAAGACCCTTTTTAAAGGGATTGCTGGAGAGCCACTAAAATAGGAGTAGTGTGGAAAGGTGGGTAGGAATTGTCTGTTGATTGTCTTTTCCGTCAGAAAAACTAGGAACTGTAAAATGAAAATAAAGTGAAATAGTAGCGGGGCAGGAAATCAGACAAAAGGAGGTGGTTCTTCATGGAGGTGAGTAGCCAAAAGCCACTTTGCTAAAGGGTGCTGTGATACAAGTTGTCCTGGTTTAAACCCAGCCGGCAGCCAACCACCACACAGCTGCTCACTCACTCTCCCCCACCCAAGGGATGGAGAAGGGACTTGAAGGAGTAGAGGTAAGGAGACTTGTAGGTTGAGATAAAAGCAGTTTAATAATGGAAATTTATTTTAAAAAAATACTGAAATAAGAAAATTCAAGCAGGTAATACACAATGAGATTGCTCACCACTCAGTGACCAATGTCCAACCCATTCCCAGCTAGTGATCCCAGAGAAGAGAAGATCCCGAAACTACAATCCCCGAAGTGACAGCACCAGCTTCCCAGCCAACCCTCATCTATACACTGATCATGACGTTATATGATATGGAATATTTCACTGGCAAATTTGGATCCATTGCTCTGCCTATGCTCCCTCCCAGCTTCTTGTGCACTGGCACGTGGGCAGGACATGGGAAATTGGAAAGGCCTTGATCTCTTAGCAAGAATTGAAAATGTCAGTGTATTACCAACATTGTTCTCATACCAGAGCCCATACTGAATCAAAAGCACAGCACTATTCTAGCTACTAAGAAGGAAAATTAACTCTATCCCGGCTGAAATGAGAAGTTAATAATTCACTAACAAACTAAAACCGGAGCTGAAATTTCCCTGAGCTGAAAATAGAAGCTGCGAGAGTATTAGGGGAAATACCATAGGAATTTGCTTTGTTCTCACTCTTCCCAAGGAATCTGCAAATGGCTATTGTAGGAGACAAAACGCTGGGCTTAAATGGATTCTTGCTGTGAACCAGTGTCACCATTTGTATGCCAGCATTTCTAAAAGAAGCTTAAACCTGGAGTGTCAGCTTCTGGAAATGAAGACAAGGTGGATGATTCCCAATCTGATGTCTGAATGCTTTGCACTGCAACCATGAAAAAGCCTTTTCTAGTATCAGCACTGCTGAGGGAATGCTGAAATCTCCCTTAGTTCTAGATGAGTTTTCAGGTAAAGTGAGACATCTACTAAAATGCAGAAATTATTAAATTAGTTGTGAAGTTTGGAGGCAGCAAAATGGAACAGCAGTATAGCTTCTGGTCATGGTGCTCTGCTTTGGCCTTGTGCTTTTTTGCTTTTTGCTTTGCTTAATTTTTGTGTTTCTCTGAGCTAGTATCTGGCCAGGTGAACTAAGCTGATTCATGCAGTTTCCTTTTCAGTCGAGGTTCCTGCAGTTTTCAGGTTTTTCCTTCTTTGTGTAGGATATTGATTTAAAAGATGGTCATCTACTGATTTCCTGCCCTTTTTTAGTGTTAATTTGGGGGGTTCTGCCAGCTATAGCACTGGTAATTGATTCAATCAGGGTAACTATCTTCTTTGCTCATGGAACTGAGCTAATGCAGCTTGGTTTGTTGTTCTGGAAGATGTTTTTTGGAAGGCCCTTCTCTGCCAGGTGCAACCAGCTAAATTTAAGGCATGTAGTCTCACTTGTAGTTTGTAAATAAACAAGTTTTCTGCATCAGCTTCTCTACATGTCAGTACAGAACTGTGACTAAAGGAGGACACTGGAGCTGTATCTAGCTCTTGAGAGAGAGGTGTCATGAAAGGAAGCAAACAGATGTGGGGAGATGGATTGTTTGGGGGAGATGACTGCTGAAACATGCCTGCCTGGAAGTGGCGGGTGATTCAAATACAAAACTTACCAATTAACAGGGGCTGCAGTAAAGAAAAATGTGAGTCTTTAGGAAAATATCCTAAAAGAATTCCTGTGATAATTTTCTTGCCTCGTAGAGGGACTAATAGCATTTACTTGTTCTTTTTTAATATATGATTATGGTTGTTGATAATACTGCTATCTTACAGTTATGATTTAGATGAACACAATGCTGTTTGTGGCCAGTGCGCTATATTCATGTTGCCTGGTTTATAGGTCAGGACATGTGCAGACAGTGAGGGAACAATATTTAAGCAAGGACTTTTTAAAAGGAGATGGGAATACAGCAGCTATACATATAGTTAAGCTCTTATATATGATTTAATGACTAGATCATGAGCTTTTTCACGGAGACAGGTTATTGTTGATGTTCTCTAGTCAATGGCATATTCAATTTTTTATTGACATTACTACCAAAATAAGTATCAATAATAAAATAGCAGTCTCTACTTTTTGCTATTTTTTTCAGCAGCAGCCCAGCTTTCATTATGCAATTCTAATGGGATAGACTCAGCCACTAAGTAATTACCTAGTTGTGAGGGAGTTGTACAAAATTTGAAAAACAAACTGGAGCACTTCATACCAGTTGAAATTCATCTCACTCCTTATCCCTTATAGCTGTCTGTTGCATACCCTCATTTTCTGTTCTGTTTAAAACAGACACATTTCAAATCTTTCTTTTGTTTGATCAAAGGGAAACCTGTTCATCTGGGGAAATGTTTTGCTTTGTTGCATCTCCTGATATTTTTGTCCTTTCCAGCTGTTTCACATTTTTTTCTCTTTCTCACTTCCCCATGGATAAGGAGGAAAGTTAGATCTGAACTGCAGTAACATTTCTTTGTTCTCGTTTCTCATTGCACTCTGTGGTGATAGTCCTCTCTCCCTTAAAACAAGAGTATCTTTGTTCCCTTCGTTGCACAGTTTTGGTGAGATTAATTCCTTCTCCTTTCAAAACCATTTAGGAATTTTTTACTTTTTTGTAATCTGAAAGGATGTTTATTTTAGAGAAGAGTCTCTATGAGGTGGTTATAGCAAAGGGAAGATACTAAAGATGATTTAAACATCATAGAGACTTCTAATTGCCTCATGCAGAGGTAGCCAAATGCAGAGTCTCATCTTCAGAAGTCACGTAACTGTGATTTGACTTCTAAGTGACTTCTCTATCTCATTTTATGATGCTTTTTGATGAGGGAAGTGTCCTTGTTTTTATGAGATCTATGAACATACCTTAAGATTTTTCTCCTTGAGTTGATGTGGTAGCTAGTATAATCTGAGGTGGCAAACATTTAGTTTGACAGGCTTTATTTGTATGACTTTGAGAGTCACTAAAACCAAGATTCCAGTTTTGTTCATAAATCCACTGCTAGGATTCATATTATTTTATCTGCAGTTTAAAAAATACACAGGTTTTAGCAGATTTGGATTGTGTCTGATCAACAGAACATACAAGTGAGTGTGAAAAAAGAGCGGTCATCTTTCCAAAAACCACAACGTATGTGTAATTCACACTGGAAGTTCTGCTATGAAATTCAGAAGTTCAGATTCTGATGAAGTGTTCCCTCAGGCCATAAATTGAAAGAGCATAATTTCGAGAACTACTGAAATCCACAA